GTCCCAGAATCCCCCAGCCGGCATGCTTTAAGAGGGGAGGACTTCCATTCCCAGGATCCCGCAGCCAGCCTGCTTTAAGAGGGGAGGACTTCCAGTCCCAGAATCCCCCAGCCGGCATGCTTTAAGAGGGGAGGACTTCCAGTCCCAGAATCCCCCAGCCGGCATGCTTTAAGGGAGGGTGGACTTCCATTCCCAGAATCCCCCAGCCAGCCTGCTTTAAGAGGGGAGGACTTCCAGTCCCAGAATCCCCCAGCCGGCATGCCTTAAAATGGATAGACTTCCACTCCCACAATTCCCCAGCCAGCATGCTTTAAGAGGGGTGGACTTCAACTCCCAGAATTCCCCACTGCATTGCTGGCTGGGGAATTCTGGGAGTTGAAGTCCACCCAATCTTTAAAGGGGCCAAGGTTGAGAAACCGATCAAAATAATCCCCACTGACAATGCAGCCAATGCAGATATCCACCATCACCGCAACCATTATCAGCGGAATTGGGTTCCCGTCGCACAACTCACCTCTCTCTGCTCGCTGCAGATCTTACAGAACCAAATGGGCCGTTTGTGGGGACCCCCCGGCGTTTCTATGCCACACTTTGTGCAAACTTTCTGGGGAGACAGAAGAAAAAAAAATCAAAATTCTAAAACCTGGTGATACCAGGTGGGACGTGGAGGAGAAAGCATCAATCTCTAAAATTGCGGGAAGATGCCCTGCCTCCTGCCAAGGAAGAATTTGAAATCTATAAATATTAATTGCTAAAAAAAAACCACCCCAGATTTCCCTCCAAGTTTCTTGGCGGTCCTCAACTTACAACCACGATTGGGCCCAAAAATGTCTGTTGCTAAGCAAGGCAGTGTTTGAGCGAGTTTTTCCCCCATTTTACCACTGTTCTGGACACCGTTGTTAAGCGAATCACTGCACTCGTTTAAAGTGAATCGTGTGGTCCTTCAGCAAATCTGGTTTCTTTGGCGGAAGCTGGCTGGGAATGTCACAAAAGGGGATCATGGGACGCTACAACCGTCGTAAATACGAACCCGTTGCCAAGTGCCCAACTGGTCAGGTGACCACAGGGATGCTAGAATAGTCATAATTCTGAAACATGGTCATAAGTCTTTTTTTTTTTCAGTGTTGTAGGTTCGAATGGTCACTAAACTCTAAAAACTGTCTTGGTTAACAACGGAAATTGGGGGTTCAGTTGTGGTCGTAATTCGAGGACTACTGTATTAACCTCGGATCTGAAGTTTCCTTCTAGATATTGGAACTTCAACCCCAACATATTTTTCCACAATGCACCTGAGGTACCCTTGTGTGAGACTCAAATTCAGGTAGTCCTCAACTTACAACATTTCATTTTTTTTTTTGAAGATGTTTCACTTCTCATCCAAGAATCTTCAGCACTGCCTGGATGGTGGGGAATGGAACAGCTGGTCATTTGCATCCTTTTAGAGGGTCGTTGAGGCCACCTGGAGATTTATTTATCTGTGTCCTCAGGGTCACCTGAGTGGTGCAAATAGGTGCGGAGCCTTCTTGGAACTGCTGAAAGGACTGTGATGTAGAAAGCGGGATATCTAGTTTGCACTACTAAGGTTACCCCGAGGACACAGATAAACCTCTAAGTGGCCTCAATGACTTTCTAAAAGGATGCAAATGACCAGCTGTCTGCAAGGAGTATAAATCCTTCCATTCCCCACCATCCAGTCAGAACTGAAGAAGCTCCTCGGATGAGAAGCGAAATGTCTTCAAGGAAAAGCCAGAAAGTCCAGTTGCCTCTTGAAAAAAGCACCTTTGGGACAACCAAGACCTGGATGATTTGAGAATCTCCCACGGACACACACATTAAAATGAAATTTCGATCTCCCCTAATCGGACTGCGCCCAGAACGAACCACCAAGGCCTTCGTGCTTCCCGTCTCTTTCCCTCTTCTGATTTCCAAGACCAGCCAGCGAAAAAAAGAGAAAGAACTAGCCGTTGTTGTTTTTTTTCCAGCCATCTGGACAAGCTGAACCAGCCCGCGGGGCAAAGTAGTTCAGAAAGATTTCAAAAGAGCTGCAGGTCCCCAACAGAAGGAATACAATCAAACGGAAGGCTCAATAAAAAGAGAATTTAAAAGAAGAATAAATCAATGTCCACAGCGAGGTGGAATAGCCATCTCCCTCGCGCAGCACCTGTAAATTAATGCCGCCGGCCGTATCCGCAACAGGCGTGGATAGGATGCTGAATAGCCACAGGAGGTTGAAAAGAGTCGACCAGTGGGCAGTCTCAGCCAAAAAAGGTTTAGGCAAAGAAAAACCAAATGGCTCAACAGCAGTAACTGCGAGAGGGATCAGAATACAGACTACGAGGACCGTTTCATATACAGGGTTGTGCAATCTCTTCTTAAAAACTTCCGGTTTTGGAACATTTACAACTTCTGGAGAGAAGTTGTTCCACTGATGAACGGTTCTCACTGATAGGAAATGTCTCCTTAGTTCTAGGTTGCTTCTTGTTGAGGTAATTCCCCGTTAGGAGAATGAGCGCATACAGGGAGACGTATCTGAGAGAAGTGTTTGAATAATACACACACAGCACACAGATACACTGTACAGTAAATGTAGGTTTTTACTTCCAGAAAGGTTTAAGCAAAGTCCAAAATAAGCAATCCAAAGTCATTCACAAGTAAATCAGTCAGTTTTTCAATCCAGGGATAATTCAATAACAAAGTCCAGTGTCAAAAACAGTTCAGTAACAAACTTACATCAAATCCAGTAATATCAGTCAATTAGAAGAAACGGAGCAACGGCAATACTTTCGAACAGAAGGAAACAGAGATACTCACTCTCTTCTGAGACTAAGACTAAGACAATACAAGTTTCTGGCTCCATCTTATGGCTGTTTGAAAAACCACACCTAATTACAGTTTTGCATTTTCTTAAAGTTACAGTTTTAAAACGTTTATCCTGGTTTATATATTTCTAACCCAAATACCTGTTAGGTGACTTATATTCCTAACACTTCTCTCTCCTGGATTAGTTTCCATCTGTTGTTTCTTGTCCTGCCTTCAGGGGCTTTGAAGAATAGCTTGACAAGCTCGACAACTCCAAGGTCTGGGAATCCTGGCGGACAATCACTTAAACATGAGCCAGCCGTGTGCTACAGCAGCCAAAAAGTCAACACTGTTGTTCTGCCCCTTATTTACTACTAGCTGAATATAAGGCAGACAGATAACTCTACAAAGCATCCATACAAAGTTTCTTTATTGGGTCATCGGGTATCCTCATACATAACTCACGGTTACGTCGAGAGTCATCTCGACGTCCAAATCTTTGCATAGCTGAATTCATAGTGTAAAAGGATCGTGCTCTTTTCATTCCCACGATGGAGCAAGGCTGCTGGGGTCCAGGCAAGAATGAAGGAACCTCCCCCAACCCACCAAGGCTCAATTCAGTGACCAATCAGGATTACAGATGTGAACCCCATGACATGGACTACATTTCCCAGGATGCCTTAACTACATTTACCGTGATGCATTCTCTTAAGGGGACAGCTCCCAATTCCTAATTAACTGTCTCAATTCCCATTACCTATAAACTGTCTGGACAGCACAACAGTCCTTAGGTTTTGTTGCCACGATGTAAAAAAGAAAAATGTTGAAAAAAAGAGCGCAGAGAAGAGCAACAAAGAGGATTAGGGGACTGGAGGCTAAAACATATAAAGAACAACTGCAGGAATTGGGTACACCTTAGTTTAGTGCAATGAAGTACTAGGTGAGACACAATAGCAGTATTTCAATATTTGAGGAGCTGCCACAAGAGAAGAGGGGGTCAATTTATTCTCCAGAGCAATGGATGGTACAAGACCAATGGATGGAAACAAGTCAAGGAGAGATGCAATCTAGAACTAAGGAGAAATTTCCAGACAGTGAATTTGGGGCAAGCAAACGGAGGCACTGCACCACCTCGGTTACTAAATGAATGGCTGCGGTGAAAGCAAATTCAGACAGCTTCCTGAATGATTTTGCCCTCTTGTTCAGAACCCAATTCCAGTTTTCTAATTTTGCTTATTATCTCTGTCAAAAGACGATCGTGCTAAATTGCATTTGGATACCAAGCCTTCCCTCTTGTGGAGCTTATAAAATTGGGAAATCCACTAACCTGCTTTTTCCTTTGTCATTATTATTTATATATACAGCATTAAAAAAAAAAAAACCTTGCCGTATCACCCCAGAAACAGCACTTTTCCTTCCCTTCAGAAAGGCCAGACAGAGAGAATAAATAAATATAAATCAATAAATAACATTTCTGCCCGGAGATTATTGACAGTTAATTAAAACGCCATTTATTTATTTTTTACAAAATAAAAAATAGAACAAAATAAAATAGCCTCGGGGATCATCCGAAATGTTAATTTTAACAGTTCAACGGGAGGACCAAGAATAATTAGAAGGCTGTTAATCTGTAGCCTAATTAACTGCAGAATTTCTGCTTTGATTGATATCGGCTGTCAGAAGGAGGGGAGCAGGAAGAGGCACAGGAAAATGGCTAGAAGACCTGCTCATCCACTCGGAGAGTGAGGAGGCTGGGGAGGAACATAGGCCAGTCCTGGAGTCTGGGGAAGGCTCTGAGGAGGGGTCTGCGTCAGAGGCAGAGATGGAGCTGTCCGACAGTTATCAGTTGCCTTTGGAGTCAGAGATCAGTGAGGCAGAAGAACAGCTGGAGCCTGTTCCCAGGGTGCGCATGCACAGAGCTGCCCGGAGAAGGGAACAGCTAAGGAACAAGGGTTGACTTGGGAGTAAAGGCTCAGGTGGACGGTGAATGGCCCCTCCCACAGGGAATAAAAGAGGAGCAAAAGGGGAGGGGTGTTTGCAGGAAACAATTAGTTCAATTCATTAGGGGGAACATCCGTTCCTGACTCCTTTTCCAAGTATTGCCTGCTACAGAGTGGCGTTCGGAAGATATTGGCCTGGCAACTCTCCAAGCCTGATCAAGGTCTGTTAATTGTGAAATCTCTTGAAAGACTGTTTGCCGGGACTTGGCCGGAGAGGAATTTCCTTTAATAACCTAAATAAAAAGGGTTTTATCGGAACGAGGAGTTGGCCTCATGATCTCGGGAAGGCTGGGTCAGAACAATTCAATCCTAACCAGCTCAAGATTGACTAAAGCAATACAGGGTAGTCCTCAACTTACAATAGCTTAACGACCATTCCAAGTTACAACGGCACTGCAAAAAAGGGACTTATGGCCATTTTTCACAGTTACCACCTTTGTCACCACCCAATGGTCACATGATATAATTCAGTTGCTTGGCTACTGACTCATATTTACAACCATAGCAGTGTCCCCGGGGGTCATATGATCCCTTTTTGCGACCTTCTGACAAGAAACATCAATGAGGAAGCCAGACTCACTTAATGTGATGACCCAAAGGGGTGTGGCACAAAGGCAACCCAGTCAGATAATCAGTAGGAGTCCCTTTATTAGCTCCAACTTTGCCCCCAAAGTCCTGGTTACCTTCTGGGCTGGAGAAAAACTCTCCCAGGAACAGCCTTGGGCTGCAGAGAATCAAGTCCAAAACATGGTCAACAAAAACTGTAACTATAAGTCCAATCAAGGCAAAATGAGGTGATTAGTCCGGCAGGCAGGAGCAAGAATTCCAGATGTGAAGGCACAGCAATAACTCAACATGGTTGGGAGGACGCCAAGAACACAGATAAGCAAAATCAACACAAGATAAACTCACATTTGTTCCCAGCAGCCATTGCACTCAGCATGCATTTCTTTTAAACTCTCATTCCCAGGTGTGGCTAATGAAGGGAATCAGGGCCCTTTCCTCCTCCGTAAGCCACACAAATAGCGTTGCTCTCTTCTCTGTTCCTCCCTGCGTACCCTAACATGAAGAGGGGGTGGGCCTAGGTCTTCCTCTGAACTCCCTCTCCCTTGTTCTATCCTCTCCCCCTGCTCTGCCCAGCCTGACTTTGCCCTTCCCCAATTTCCTCCACAGCCAACGGAGCCACACTCCTTGGATTCAGACTCCAACAGGGGCATGACAATTAACAGCTGGGGTTACTATCTTATCAACTGCAGGGATTCACTTCACAGCTATGGCCAGAATGGTCATCAAACGGGGCCAAAACTCCCCGAATCAACCGCCTCTCTCAACAACATAAATCGTAGCCGTAGAGTCGAGGACTACCTGTACTGCAACGGTGGTTAAGTGCTGCCGTATCTTCGAACGGTCGCTAAAAATGAAAGGGTTGTTAAGTCGAGGACTCACCTGTGTTAAGATCGGCGTGGGAAGAAGCAGAATGGCCGGCATATTACCAGAATCGATTGCAAAAAAACAAAACAAAAATTCCCAACGCGCCTTTCAAAAGTCGCCCGAGCCAAGATAAGTTTCCAAAGGACACCTCAAAATATTTTTCTAGGCCACACCTGAAACCGGGGGTGGGGGGTGGGGGTTGAAGTGGGCTAACTTACCTTTTTGCAGTCTTGGCAAAACACTGCCGTGCTCCCCCAAAAACCCAGGCCTTCCCCGCAGAGCAGGCACTGGGACGACCCATTGCCCAGGACGTTTTTCTGCATGTTCTCCAGCCGTTCCACCAGGCGCCTGCGAGGCAAAGAGACTCCTGTCAAAACAGCCGATCCAACCGACAACTGCGGTCGTTAAGTTAGGAACCCAGTTGTTAAGCAAACCTGGCTTCCCTCGTTGACTCTGCTTGCCAGAAGGCCGCGAAAGGGGATCACGTGACCCTGCAAGTGTCATAACTACAAGTCAGTTGCCGAGTGTCTGAATTTTGGTCGTAAGAGTGAAAAACGGCCGTAAGTCACTTTTTCCCATGCCGTTGGAGCTTCAAACAGTCACTGAACAAACTTCTAAAGTCGAGGACTACTGTGCAAATCTGAGACAATCATGCGACAGTCACCTGCTTAATGACTTCCAGGAGTTACGACTGTAATTCCGGGCGCCTCCCAAACCCCCTACGCATGTGCATGCAATCCCCATCCGCCCACCCCCATCGCCCCCTTACCTGCACTGCACCTTACAGCTGATTTTCAGCCGGTTTGAGGCCTTTTTCAGCCTCCCAAAAGCTTGAGGAAGGCTTCTGCAGGGTTTGCAGGCCGAAAACCAGCCCCGTTTCGCCACTTCCGATATTTTTGGAAAAACAGGAAGTGACGAAAGGGGCCTATTTCTCAGCCTGCAGAAGCTTTCCTCAAGCCTTTGGGAGGCCGAAAAAGGCCTCAAACGGGCCAAAAATCAGCTGTGAGGCACGCCCAAGCCCAGTGAGGTAAATTTGCCTGCAGCTCGCATGCTGGCACAAATGGCTCTGCGTGCCATAGGTTCACCATCATGGATATATAGGGTTTCCTGCCTGAGCAGGGGGAGGTTGGACTAGAAGACCTCAAAGGTGCCTTCTAACTCTGTTATTCTGTTAATTATGCAGTTAAAAACGGTCTATGGTACGTGATTTTCTTTTGTCCTGTGTTATATTCATTCACTTTAAAAAAAGAAAAAAAACCTTTCCATGAGTGTTTTTTCTTTCTTTGACATTGTAAATATTTTTATCCTAATTATGTTTCCTTTTCTTTGAAGCGTGTGTGTGTGTATATACACATACATACACACACATATCCCAATTATCTCAGCTTTCTTTTTCCTGTGTTGTCATTATTTTAAAAGCAATTATATATATATTTTTTTAAATTAAAAAACAGACCCTCCCAACACAAGCACTATAAGGCTGCAGATAAAACAACTGTTTTCATCTCCAATTGCACACAAGCGTGTGCAACCTATGGGAGGTCTAAACACAATCGGGTGAACGTGCAAGACTTTACGGCTTACTTCTTCCAGGCCAGAACTAATAATCTCTGCTATTTTTCTCAAATCCCTTCTGCCCGATTTAATGCCACCGACCTTGAACGTTAAAAGGTTTCCAAATCCTTTAGCAGACAGATAAAAGAGATAAATAGCTTTCATCCACAGACCCAGACAATTACAAAAGGTATGAGTGACTGGATTTTTTTTTTTAAACCTGTTTAAAAAAAAAAATCCAGCTAGGAAAATGGTTGTAATGGATTCTACCCACAAGATTCAAAGTCACTTTAGCCTCGCCCCAAAATACAATTTTTCAGGGACTTAATAAGTAGAAAAGAAAAACGTTCCTCGGAGCAGCTACCACGTCCATGGCTAAAGATTTCTCAGCAGCAAATCCTAGGTGTCTTTACTTTAAGGTTCTAATTCTTTTTAGAACTGTCACCCTGGCTGCTTTTTTTAAAAAAAAAGGTTCAAATAGTGCAGAGCATTAACCCTGCTGAATGCTGCAGGATTATTATCTCAATTATTTCCAGAAGGTAGAAAGCCGGCTACAAAACACAGCTTAGCCATTTATCTTTCAACCAGACAAGCTCATGACCTGTTGGCTCATCCATTAAAAAGACGACGTGACTAGAATGAACAGTTAGAATTGGTTAGGTAGAATGTACATACATACATACATATACATACAAACATACATACATACATACATGTATGCATGTTTATGTGCAGGTGCGCATATATGCGTAAGTATATGTATTTATATACACCAGATAGACACTAGATAGACTAGATAGATAGATAGATAGATAGATAGATAGATAGATAGATAGATAGATAGATAGGCAGAGATAAGAGGAAGAAGAAGTAGAGAGAGAGATGGATGGATGGATGATGAGGCAGAGAGGAATAGATAGATAGATAGATAGATAGATAGATAGATAGATAGATAGATAGATAGATAGACAGACAGACAGACAGACAGACAGACAGAAGGAAGGATGGATAGAGAAAGGCAGAGATAGATGGAGACAGATAATAGATATAGATAGATAAGATAGATAGATAAATAGACTAGACAGAGAGAAGGATAGATAAACAAGCAGAAAGAAAGATGGAGAAAGAAAGAAAGAAAGAAAGAGAGAGAGAGACAGAAAGAGAGAGAGAGAGAGGGAAAGAAAGAAAGAAAGAAAGAAAGAAAGAAAGAAAGAAAGAAAGAAAGAAAGAAAGAAAGAAAGAAAGAAAAACAGGCAGGCAGGCAAGCAAGCAAGCAGGCAAATACCCTATTCTCTTCTGCTCGATTATGTCCAGCTTCTCGGCTCTTTGGATGACCGCCAGAATGACCTCCATTTCTTTCGAATCCAGAGCTTGCATCTTCCTCTGACGGTCCGTTTGGAAAGTGTGCACCGACCAACCGGTGTGAAGCCTGCAAAGGAAACAAACTAGTTTTGAATTTTTTTTTCCCCAGCCAATCGGGGTTTCTGTTTCTTTAAAGGCAGCGTTTGCATACCTAAATGCGGGTTGGCTCGAATTTACGACCATTTTTTAAATTTCTATAAGAAGAGATTGAAGAACCATTTGTCGGAAGTGGCGTAGGGTTCTCCTGTTCGAGCAGGGGGTTGGACTAGAAGACCTCCAAGGTCCCTTCCAACTCTTGTGATTCTATTAAAACCACTGCAGCATCCCCAACGATGGTCGCATCATGACTAAAATTCGGACGCTTTGCAACTGTCTCATATTTATGATGGTCGCAATGTCCCAGGGTCATGTGATCCCCGTTCTGACCCTGGCTTCGTCAAACTTAATAAAACACAAACTGAATTTAAAAGTAAAACCTTTTTTTAATGCCACGCTGGGAATTATTTGCATTCCTAGCCAAAACTCATAAAACACAGTTCTTCCAGATAAGAGCACGCAGTTCAGTGTTGTTGAATGCTGCCAAGAAACAGACGTCCAGAATTATTTCGCGAGAAGAATTACTACACTCCTCTGCTCAAAACAGAATATCTTATATCACCAGGCTTGAGATGTTGGGCTTGGACAACCTTGAATTACACCGCCTACAGTTGGACTTAAGCGTAGTACACAAAATTATCTGCTACAATGTCCTACCAGTCAATGACTACTTCAGCTTCAACCGCAACAATACAAGAGCACGCAACAGATACAAACTCAATGTCAACCGCTCAAAACTTGATTGCAGAAAGTACGACTTCAGCAACAGAGTAGTCAATGCCTGGAATGCACTACCTGACTCTATTGTTATATCCTTAAACCCCCAAAACTTTAACCTCTGTTGACTGTTGACCTCATCCCATTCCTAAGAGGTCTGAAAGGGGCGTGCATAAGTGCACCATCGTGCCAGCTGTCCCTGTCCTATTGTCCCCATTTATTCGTACCTCTTTCCTGTATTCTTACTCATGTTTATACTTATACCTATTATCTTGTAAGCAATTGACAAATCAAATCAATAAATAA